TGTTAGCAAACTAAAAAACAATAAATCAGCTGCTGATGACAGCATTGCCAATGAAATGTGAAAACCAAAAATAAGTTAATGATAAGATGTTTACAGAAACTTTTCAACTGTATTCTAGATAGTGGAAAATTTCCTGAAACCTGGAAATCTATGATTCTTGTTTCATTACACAAATCAGGTGACAAATTAAATCTTGGTAATTATAGAGCTATTGCATTAACAAGTTGTCTCTCAAAACTATTTACTGGCATAATGAATCAAAGATAGACCACATACTTGGAAGAAAATAAATTATTTACCGACATGCAGTTTGGCTTTAGGAAAGACAGGAGAATGACAGACGCAATTTTCCTGATAAAAACAGCAGTTGAAAAAACTTTATTTAACATTTTTCTGAACGATCTGCCAGAATTATTTGGGGATCATATTAATAAACCAGTTCTAATGGGCGGGAAACCTATAAATTGCATCCAATATGCAGATGATCTTGCACTTATTTCAGAAACGAAAGACGGCCTACAAAGCTGTCTGAACAAATTAAATGACTATTGTATAAATTGGAATTTAGAAGTAAACGTAAAGAAAACTAAAGTCATGGTATTTAATTGCAGCAACAGACTGATTAAAAACATGAATTTTAAAATCAACAACCAAGACATAACAGCTGTTAGCGAGTTTTGCTATTTAGGGGCAATATTTACTCCAAATGAGAAATTTAAAACAAACTTATCTATGTTAAAAAATAAATCAATGAAGGCTCTTTTCAGCATCAGACAAACAGTCTTAGACCACAAAATAATCTCACCAGCACTTAGTTTGAAAATTCTCGACCAATTAATTTCACCTATACTCATAAATCTGGGTCAATGAAATCACAACTGACAGTAACAGTTTAGAGCAAGTTTGCAGTCATTTTTACAGGTTTATCCTAGGAGTGAGTAAAATGACGCCAATTAGTGGTTTGAAAGCAGAACTTGGTAGGTTACCAGTAAAATTAAAAATTAATTTGGCTCAAATTAAATACTGGCATAGACTATATAGTCTGCCTGATAATCACATTTTAAAATTAGCCCTGGATGAAATGAGAAAAATTAATTCAAACTGGGTAAGGAATATTAATGCTACACTGGGACATGATCTAATTAAAATAAAAAATGATCACAATATGGAAAATTGGAATCAAATACTAAAAAAAGTAAAACTCAGACTATCTGAGATTTATATTCAAAGATGGAGAGAAGAACTAAATTTCAGTGAAACCAATGAAAATAGGGGAACAAAACTGAGAACATACAAACTATTCAAAGTAAGTTATAATATGGAAAATTATTTGCAAAACATTTCAAATTTCAGCCTCAGGAAAATGCTTTCAAAATTCCGTCCACAACTTAGAAATAGAATTAGGTAGAAGAACAAAGCCCAAAATAGAATTAGAAAATAAACACTGTAATAAATGTAACACTAAAGCAATAGGAGATGAAAAACATTTCCTGCTATTTTGTACTGGCTACATAGAACAAAGAAAAAAACTGTTTGATGAGTGTTCAATAAATATTTACACAATGGATGTGAATTCCATATTTAAAAAGATTATGGAGAATAATATAGCTTTAGCAAAATACTTAAAGAGCACAATTTTTAAAACCACAGAAAGTAATTAATTTATTTTTTTCTTTTATTTTACTAACATTTTATTTGTATCTCTTGTGTATTGTATGTTTTTTATTTCTTTGTATTTATATTCCTTACCATACAAAAACCCTCTGAAGGTTTTTAGTAGTGTAATAAAGTTATTATTATTAAACTCACAAAAAATGTCACTCTCACCCCTACAGACCTTAACCAAGCCATGGACCCCATGGAATTTCTTATTAAATAATTTGCAAAAGGTTGAATTAATTTATAAATTGCTAAACAAAAATAAAATTGGCTTAATGCTCCGCTGACAGTCCCAATATCATATTCATGACGAAACAGTGATTTGAGGAACAGTTTGGTTCAAAGTTTTTTGTACCTAGAGGAGGGGGCTGCAATTTTCTGAAAAGTCATATCCATCATTTTATTAATGTATTTAGTGATTTGAGCTGATATTAATTTTCTTGAATGCAACCCAGGTGGTTTTAATATGAGTGAAGGGGATTTCTGTCTTAATGAAGAGGAGGACACATCGTCTGATAGTGGATATGATGTCCCCAGAATGTCAAGAATTTATGCAAGTAAACCAGCAATGGATCCAGCATCTCTCAAACCACAAGATTTCCAGGTAAAAATATGTACATTGGATAAGATTACATTTCTTATTTTGTATTCTGTTTATGCACATTTCACATTAGATTGTGGTTGATTTATGTGTAACTCAGCCCTGTCTGTGCAAGGCACATGGTATTTTATTATTGGCTTTTTCACTTTTCACTATATAATAAAAATAAAGTAAATTTTTGTTTGGTTCTGAATTTCTCCAAAACCTGCAATCAGGTCAAACAAGCTCTGACATTCATGGCTTAAGATGCCATTCATCATAGTCTTGAATCAGAATTGTGAGGTTCTAAGCATAGTTGGTCATTATGTGTTTTAACTGGGTGACCTTAACACATTTTCTGCTGTCTTTTGTTTTCTATTCATTTTGATATGGCTTTCAGCTGGCAATGTTTTAATATTGTTTACTACATAAGACTCATTGAATTACAAGTTTATGCATCTTTATATGTATTTGTTGTTGTTTAATCTGATGACATACGCAGTGGGTGGGTTAATCTCTATATCATATGTATTGTAGATTTCCATCACAGTAATAGAAGCACGACAGTTAGCAGGACTCAACATTGATCCTTTGGTATGTGTTGTTGTCGGTGATCAAAAGAAATACACAAGCGTCAAACATTCAACAAATTGTCCCTACTTCAATGAGGTGAGTATATTTTGAGAAAGGTAGGCTAATAAAAAAACCTAATGAGTTAAATCCACAAGTGAAAGATATGACATTAGTGTTATTTTTTTTTTAATCTAAATTTTTAATAAAATATTCTCAAATTTTGGTGTGCAATATTTAATGACTTTCTTCATTGCTTTGGGTGTTGCATGTGTACGTTAATTTTATAGTCTTGGTCTGGTGGTTGATTGGCTTAAATAAAGTTAACATAATCATATGAGATTATCACAAGAGTACCACAAAGTATCATGAAAACAGTACATAGATCCATATGAGAAATAATTTAAATGTTCAAGCGTTGGTACATTTCAGAATGAATACAAATACAGAATTTTACGGATTCAGTGAATTCTATTGTTTTCAGTGCAAGATGTACAATAACAATAAATATTTTCTTTTCAGTATTTTGTCTTTGATTTTCATGTTGCCCCAGCAATGTTGTTTGACAAGATAATCAAACTCCAGGTAAATGTTTTCTAATGTTTTCACTTACAATATTAGACAATACACAGTAACAACATAGACCTAAAATCAATGGTTACAATGGAATTGTGAAAATATTGAAATAAACTGCAGCTGTTTCTTTCCAACCCTACATGTATACTGTGATACATTCTGGAATTTATTTTTATTTTTTTTTTGTAGGCACTTCATTCTCGTAATGTACTTAGAGCGGGTACTGTGATTGGTCAGTTCAAATTTGATGTTGGTACTGTGTATCAGGCCCCAGGTAAGTTCTTTTTTGCTTTATAATTATTGGTATGTATTGTCTAGTAATTGACTGATTTCTGTGCAATAATCTTATGTTCATGGGTGTATCTTTTCCATTTAACAATCTGTTTTACCAATAATATGTTCAGTGACAGGATTATATTTTGTATTGTGCGCTTATAGCACTGTTTAAATGTTTGCGTGTCACATTAATAACTTTGAATGCGTTCATTGCTGGTGACTGGTTTACTCTAGTTTTTGGAAAATTTGAATGATCGAATGCATGCTGATACAGTTTTTAGGAGGATTTCTGGTACAGTTTTTAGGAGGAGTTATAGTACAGTTTTTTAAAGGAGTTCTGGTACAGTTTTTTAAAGGAGTGCTGGTACAGTTTTTGGGAAAAGTGCTGGTACAGTTTTTGAGAGGAGTTCTGGTACAGTTTTTGGGAAGAGTGCTGGTACAGTTTTTGGGAGGAGTTTTTGGGAGGAGTTCTGGTACAGTTTTTGAGAGGAGTTCTGGTACAGTTTTTTAAAGGAGTTCTGGTACAGATTTTGGGAAAAGTTCTGGTACAGTTTTTGGGAAGAGTGCTGGTACAGTTTTTGGGAGGAGTTCTGGTACAGTTTTTGGGAGGAGTGCCTGGTACAGTTTTTGAGAGGAGTTCTGGTACAGTTTTTGAGAGGAGTTCTGGTACAGTTTTTGGGAAGAGTTCTGGTACAGTTTTTGAGAGGAGTTCTGGTACAGTTTTTGGGAAGAGTGCTGGTACAGTTTTTGGGAGGAGTTTTTGGGAGGAGTTCTGGTACAGTTTTTGAGAGGAGTTCTGGTACAGTTTTTTAAAGGAGTGCT